TTTGAAATCAAAACTTCATTACTAAGGAGTAGTTTCATTGTGAAATGTAATTATTATAAAATTTTGAGGGTGGACAAAAAGTTACAATGAGATTGGCAGTGTTGTGTGAGATATAAAAATTGACATCAGTTTGATTGTTATGAGTATTAGACGAATGCAAATATATTAGTAAATGAAAAGTTCCCAGAATAAGGACTTATGGTTACTTGCATATATAGGTATGTCCCAATTATACTGAAACTGCTATCAAGGGCGTTTGATATGTCTCTAATTAAACTTTTGCTCAAGAATAATATTCTGCATGAAGAAATGCATGGAATTGAGGTATAAATATTGATGGGTAATATATGCTTATTACTATGAATTTTCATGATTTTCAATTTAAGGAAACAGTTGTACATAATTTTCAGGTTTTATTTGTACTTCATACTGCCCAATTTTCTACTCGACAAGTTTCCAGTGGTATGATATACTTAACAGACAAAAAAATTATTGACACCAGTAAATTTGAAACTGTAATGATAACTTAACTTCCCATTACATTATATTGATAGAGAAATGGTTTTGAAATTTGCTTTACTTCAGATATGATATTTTCTCCTTCATAACTGTCATATTAATTATCCATGGAGATGTACATATAGTTATATAACTTAAAGTTTGCTTACTAATAGTTGGTTTTTGATTGTTTTGGATTTCATTTTAATCAGAGGGTGGTGCACAGCCATTGCTTTCACTTATAACTGTTTATAATAATTTCATGTAATTACCATTATCTACATTGTACAATTGTAACTTATAAGAACCTGACTCACTATTTCATAAAGGGATTAGATTATATTAACATTTTATGAAATATAAAATGAAAAACATCAGGAAGTTGGTTCTCATTGGGCCAAGATGTACATTTAGCATGTACATTAGGAGCAGTGAACTAACAGATCTGAAGATCAAATATGATCACCCACTAAAAAGTTGGTTGTTTTTATAATTCCTGTTTAGACACTGAATAGATTCCCCACGGAGATTACACAACAAGCATTCAAGTGGGTGCGCCATATTTGATTCGCGTATCAATTAGTTCCCTGTTCTATTCTCAGACAGCATGGCAGCTAGGATCCAGTTTGGATAAATTATAGGCAGGTCCGTGAAACCCGGATATTATTTCAAACCTGTTTATACACCTAAGGCATTTTTGAAAATGGGATTTCATCTTGACCCATACAGTGTTTTTGTTAATTATTTTTTATGTATTATGTTGTTTATTAGTATGTAATATCCAAAGTCTTGTTGTTGGAAGTTGTTCTGTTGCATGAATGTTTGCATTGGACCATGTTGACAGTGTTTCTAACAATATTTGTTTATTCAAGGCACTGTAAAGAAAAGCTTTAAATCATTGTTTATGCTAACTTATGCACCAAAACTGTTGAAAATGTACAAATTGATGGCCCAAAGTTACATTACAACAAAACAAGACTGCTAAGTACATTTTTTTATAAGTATAACCTTACAGTTAAGATGGAATTTTTTGTGCAACTTTCCCTTAAAATGGCTGGATGCAGTCCAGTTAATAAAGGGATCATATTTTCTTTCATAGTACACTGTGTCCTTCAGTATATGTGTCTACTAAAAGCTACTGTTACATAGTTATTCACAGATCATTTAATTTATTTATGTTTAAATGTGGGTTATATATAATAAATAGATCACAGGACTTTGGATTAATTGTGCCGGATATAAAATGTTGCATTATAACCACAGTGGGAATAATATAGGACAAACATCATATTATAATAGCTTTTCATGCCAAAGATGTTCTATTTGTGGAAGTCAGATTATGTCCCAAAGACGTATTCTGTGCTATGGGTTATTATTGTTATTATTGTTATTATTGTATTCAAACAATGTATGTTAATGTGTTTTAATATAAATATTACAGATTTAATAGCATAAGGAGAAAAACATTAATTGAAAGTGGAATTTGGTGGAAATTGTTTCTTTTAAAATTTTAAATGGCTTTCATTGTATTAGACTTAATAGATAAGGTATGGAGAGTAAAAATATTTTTTTTAATTTGTTAAAATTTGTTTAAATTTATATTTTTAAATCCTATAAGTTTCTTTAATAGAGGTGCATATTACAAGACAATCCAATGGCAAGATCTTTAATTTCCAGTTGTAAATATAACTTCTTTTAGTTCTTGGGTTTTAAGGACAATTAATAAATCTTATTTTCCCCTGACGAGTTCCAAAAGTGTGATTTAGTAGTTAAAAACAATTAAAATCGGTTAAACTATTCAGTGAGACGAACATTATGTCTGAATCACAATTATACTGAAACTTAAACATTTTTGTACTGTTTTCTGTCCCAAATATCAGGATATCATTAATTATTTATCAGGCAAAATGATATTTGAACAGGTATTGTCTGCTTACTTTCTGTGCTGTAAAAAACTGGGGTAGACAAGTATATGTTGGTCAGATAAGTGGGTCAATTTACGATAAAAATTTAAAGAAAGTTCAGTTTTGAAGGTCTTTTACGGCTGGTTTACGGCACTTGGCACGTCAACTTCATTTGAGTCATATTAGAAACTATTGGAAGTGGTTTGTATGCCTTACTGGGAAACAACACTCACTTTCTTTAAACAACAGTTGCTGTCAGTAGTATCACCTTTAATAATATTTCAATATCAAATTCACAATTAAATGAACCCAAATGTGCTTCATAAAATAAAAGAAAAAACTATAACTGAAATCAATTTATTGTGAAATCAAGAAAATTTAAGAAAAGCATAACTACAAACCCTGAATATGACAAAAATCATTTTCAAAATGATATAAACAGAAAAAGTTTGCCTCGTTAGACATTTTTTAAAACTTAAAGGAAACCCTGCTTTTAAAGTCAGGCATATGCAGGAAACAAAATATTACTTGAGTGGCAAAGGGGTGAGGGAACAACAAAAATATGTCAACAAAAATACAAATTTATCTTCTTTCAAAAGGACAGTTATATGGCACTGAGGATGTTTATATATACACATACCAAAATAAAGAAAAAATGGGCATTGCAGTCTCATTATAGTTTAAAAGAGAAATCAATTACAGTAACAGCTAAAACTTAAAGCAGCCTCAGAGAAGTAGAACCTCTATTCGACTTACTACAAAAACAAAATCATGAAAATCAAAGCATCCAGGAACATTTGACTTTGAAAGAAAAAATGCAGGATGGACTGAAACATGGCTGAAAAAAAATGTACAATTGTGGGAACAGTCCAAGTTTTTAAAAAATCATACAAAATCTTGATCGTGTATAATTCTAGAATACTTAATTGACAATTACATTAATCATTAGAACATACATACAAAATGTACATATAGCATCATGCAAATATCTGAAAGAAATCATGATATGGTAAACTTTAATGATTTTTATGCAACAACAACAACAACAACAATGAACTTATCCTCCCTCAGTTCTTATTGCAGACTTGCCATTTGTGATTGCATTCAAAATCTCATTACTTTTCTCTGTCTTTTATCATACACATACTACATGTAAGTTAAATCTCACATTAAATGCATTTATAACATATATCACAATAAGAAGAACCAAAACATTCATTTTTAACACAATGTACGTACTAAGCTAACACTGAATACTAATGCGTAGCTCCAAATTGTATGTACTATATATTATATACATATTACATATAAAGACTTTTCCAAACAAATCAAAATTGTAAGCCAAAACATTTAACTCGCTTAAAAGTCTTACACCATATATTTCATCTTTCTTTTCAGCTGAAACATCAAAAGAGCAGTTTCATCCACTAGCAATATGCTTTTTTCATTCTTTTGACTGTCTCAGCTAAAGCCTTACTGGGGTAGCACTAACACTAGCCAATTTAGCCAAATGCTAAAACTGACTTAAATTGGCTAAAGAAAAAGCGCTTGATTTGGCATGTTTTAGCCAAATTATAACCATTTTGATAACAAATTGACAAAAATGTGGTGATTTGGCTAAGCGAAAAAAATTGCTAGGGCTACCCCAGCCTTATTTTCTCCAAACAATCAGTGCATACAGTCATTTCACAATCTACCAACATCATGCTGGGTTAATTTAACACCAAAACAGGTTAAGCTACACAATGAGATATTTCAATGCTAAATATTAAATGCACCAATCCATCCATCCAGGTCTAAACATAAAAAAAAAAAATAAATAAATAAAAACAAACAAAAAAAAAACTGCTGATGTAAATGTTACTGCACTAATCTTAAGAGTCTCAGATTAGCGCTATCGGCCTTCATTCCACAAATGCCTCTTTTCAGCAGTAATTCTGACAGGGTAACATCTTTCCTATATCAGGCCCATAGCCAGCAATTTCAAAAGGGGATTCTTTTTCTGAAAAAGCGGACCTTTTACCATGAAACCATATACTTAGATAAAATTTTACCCAGAGACAACCTTTTCTGACTTAAGGTCGCCTTTGGCCATGGGCATGCTATGAGTATACAATTAACAAGCACAGTTTTTGCACAGTCACATATAATATTGCAAATATCAGGGCCTTTTGGCATCCAGAGACACGGATTTCTGGACTGTTTCTGCTTGAGACTTTGGCAACTTCATAGGCTGGCTATTACATAGAAAATCACCTGGCACTCGACACAGCCAGTGTGACTGATAAATTGGGTCTTGTAAAAACAGAGTACACCCCCCCTTCTCATTGCAGAATTACATGTTAGTACCACTCAAACTTGTGTGGTACAGAATACTGCATTGCTTGACATGATAAGTGCTTTCAGGTGTCTTAATATCAGTTTATTCTGTAATATCAATGGCTGTATTTTGGCAGTTTCAGATAACTTCAACATTTTTCTGTCTTTAGTTAATTGCCAAAATCCTGATCAAATCACTTGATCTTTGTCAGGTCATTCTGACAAAAAAAAAAAAAAAAGAAAAAAAAAGCGACTGGTTTCAACAATCTTTTAAAAACCTCACTTTTTCACGCTCATGCCTGCTTTTTCCTGTCCATTTATAATTCCAAATATGTCTTCCACCACATCATATCTCTCCATCTGTGGCAGCTGAAGGATATCAATAAGATTCTGAACTGTGTCGTGGGTGGTATTGCCCCAGTCGGTGAGGAGCATGCGGCACGGATCACGCTGCTGCTCATACAATGAGACTTCCATTGGAATTTTGCCAAGTACGCCTAAAAGAGAATATTGATGTACTCTGTAATTATGTGACTGATGAAAACTTCGTATCTGTCATTTGATATTTAAATTTATTCATTAGGAGGTTACATAAAAACTAATAAAAAAGGTTTATAGACAGATAAATGAGATAAGCAGGCTTTAATGTACAATGTATGCAATAAAAACTCGGAAATGAGATTTAATCCGTTTCATGGTGTGTGTGTGGAGGGAATTAGGACAGCTTGCTTTTTAGTGTGGTCAGCCATATTTAGTCCTCGGATCATCTGTTCTGAATGCACCTTGGACTGTGCCCTTACCCAGCATTATCAAACAAGGTCTAAGTTATAGTAATACAGATCTAGGGCACTATAAGGTGGTATCTTGGACTGTTCCCATATCCAGCATTATCAAACAAGGTCAAAGTTATAGTAATACAGATCTAGGGCCCTATAAGGTGGTATCTTGGACTATTCCCATTACAAGGACTCATAACAAGTCTCCCTTATAGCAATACAGATCTAGGGCCCTGTGATATGGTAGCAGTGCCCCCACCCCCCCAATACTTACCTGCCACTCCTTTCCAGTCTCTATCACCCAGGACAGGGATGCTTAACCTATTACATATCACTGACCACAGGTCATAAGGCATGTCTCGGATCCTGGTGTCCAGGGTGACCACCTTCTTTCCAAAGGGGGTCGTGCTGACCAGGCTGGCTGGGCTCTGAATATACAATTATATATATTCTAATTGTTAAAATAACAATAAATACAATAATAATCAGAAGAAGAAGAAGAAGAAAAAGAAAAGAAGTGTATCAAAATCACAGCAACTAAAAGATTGACGTTAGGTAAATATATTATTGGGAATAAACATTAAAATAAACTTATTATCGTATCATATTTATTTGTCAGTAATTTACTTGTATTTCTGGTATGGGAGTTAACCCTCTCGGCAAAGGGCCCTACAGTGTATAACACCATAATCACTCCACATAAGAACTGCACAGCTGATCAACTTCATATGGTTTTAAAAGAGCTGAAATTGCCTGCTTTTACACTCTGAGTCATTAAAAACTCTCCTCCAATTAATCTCAAATTAACAAAACTTATCACTTACAGCCGAAGACATGCCAAGAACTTCACTCCCGCGCAGCCATATCTTCACATCTTCATGGCAGTCCACCTGCTCCGCACCACAGAAAATGGGAACTTCTGACTGGTGGAAAATGTCCAGAACATGAGGGGCATCACTGTGGGTCTTCATGCTGCACTCTGCTGCAGGGCAGAGAGGACCACACTGGAAGCTGAGATCAACCACAGGGTGCAAGGAGGTGAAGTCACACAGAAGTTTCCTCAGATAATCAAGGAAGTCTGGAAGCTGTACTGTCTTCATTGTTGGCCTAATTTGAATTAATAATAATAAAATATTATTTACATTTATATATATATATATATATATATATACACACACACTTATGAAATGCATAATTTTGGCATCATCTGTATCATCTATTAAGTCCAAGTGTTATGGATTCCACTATATTCAATTACACCAAAACCATGATTACTGCATTTCTTCTTCACTGAAATGTATTGTATTTAGAGCATCTATAAAAAAGTTGAATTCTATACATGTATATTCCATTAGACCAATGCACATACATATCCTGAAAAATAGGGATTGGCCTAGTAAATTAAGTTATCAATTCCGTCTGCCCTTTTAACAGTAACACAATTAACACATTCATTTACCTGACAAATATCCTGGCTAAACTGTACAGCCTGTCAAAATGTATGCTGTACTGGAAGCCACCTCCAATAAACATCCCAGACACCACGCTTTGGATGCAACCTTGACCTTGAGGAAGACCTTGAACTTGACCTTTGCAGTAGCCTTGACCTTTCAAACAAGCTTCCCTAAAGTGCAGGAGAAGTACCAAGAAGACCGGTTGAGGTAGATGGCCATTGAAATCCAGGTAAATTTCCTGGAATTCGTGGCTGGCTGGAAGGTGGGGTTCTGCAAACTGAGCTAGGTGTGCGGGTATACAATACATCTTCTGCTTTGCACCTGAAATTGACAGCTCGGTGGTTCCAAAAATAAAATGCATCAGTTCAAGAAATGCCAAATGCTCTGAAAAATCTGCTGAGTTGCAGAAAATTGCCTTGTGCAGAAATTCCCCTGGAACAATCCCAGTGTTATCAAGTTGCTGCCACGTTTTACGCAGCTGGGGAGACTGCTCGCTCTTGGGTGGAATCGTCAGCAGCTTGTCGATAATGGGGACGAGTTGATGCTGATTGATGAGGACAAACATGTCCAATATAGGACTATGGCAAAGAGGTGTGGGATAGAAGTCTGAAAATAAAATTAATGTTCATCATGGGTTTTTGAGTTGCTGAACTTGTATGTAAGAATTATATTTTATTATACATAAATGCAGGCACAAATGGCAAAAATGTGCTTGACAGCAAGTTTCATGTCTATCCTGGTCTTTACATAGTGAACGGTCTCAGATTGCGACTGCAACATCAGTCAGTTGCCAACGTAAGTTTTACCATAAATTTATTCTACTGGATGACTCAAAACATTCACTCGTGACAAGAAGCTTTACAATTTTCTGCACTCTTCCATTCTGATAGATTGCCAACTTTTTGTAAATAGCTATGATATTGATAATCTTGCAGTTAACATATTATGATGAAATTGGCATTTGTTTCTACTGTACATTACTGCCAGTACATGCGAGAGTACAAAAAAAAAAAAAAAAAAAAAAAATCTAGATCTAAGGTCATAGATAATGATAATGACTCACTTTTCACGATAATGTCTCCTGAGTTGTGCAGATATTCCAGTACCATTTGGAAATCTTTTTCTGTACATTTCTGCCACACGTCCTTCACTGCAGACTGTAACTGGTTTAAAGTCCGCACAAGTTCTCCACCCTCGGAATACAGGCTATTTCTGACCACAACAGCACCCAGAGGATATTTCACTTTCATAAATGGCTGGGCGATACACAGGGTGAAGATCCTATCTCGCAGTTGTGATATGTCGGACAAGATGGCGGAGGGGCTCTGTTCTGTATTGTCGCACAGTGTGAACAATGGTAGATCGCTTTCCTTGTTGTAGACCAGGTGACTGTAATACGCCCTTCTGAAATGCTGTTCAAGGTTACTCCCCATTTTAAGGAGCAAGTCCTTGGATATGCTGGTATCTTTGCTGACGGTGGCTACAAGAAATACAGGCACCACTGATCCTGCATATGTTCTTATTTTGACGAGATCATTCTGCAAATTGCACAGCACATCCTCTGGACTTTTCACATACTTCTCAACACAGAATGTCAGCAGATACAGAGCATGCTTACAGAACACTATGTGGGAAGACAGCCTGGCTAACCTACTGTCTTGTTTCAATGACATCACTTTCACGTGAGCCACAAGCTTTGGCTTCTCCTCCAAAAGACATTGTCCGATATTTTTTACAGGGATACCCCTTTCTACCCACTTCAAGTGTGTGAGCTTCTGTCCAAGTATAGCAAGGTGGTCAGCGATAACTGGACGCTGCTCTAACTTTTCAGCCATGTGAGCTGCAAGGTACTGATTGTCGAACTCTTTTGTCGTGTCTTCTGACATGCAATGCATGCGCAGTGGTGCTCCGCTCCGTGGAATGGCGATATCGTACTGATTGTAGAGCTGGTGTCTCACACTGGGTGCCACATCTCTGTTTACCCCTAGCACCATTCTGGCCACGGAATCGCTAGGATTTCCACACACGATTAACCTCAAGTGTGGAGATATCTCCATGTCATCTCTGATTGCCTTGGTGATCACTCTCTTGATAAATAATCTTGTTTTTGTTGAACTATCCTTACGTTTGGCTGAATAAATGCTGCTCGTCTCTGAGACTGTTTGTCGTTTGCCTTTGCTGTAAAAAGTGCAGGAAGTAAAGAATCGTAATGGGTCTGATCTCTGTCTTCTGTGAATCTTTACCAACCTCCCCTTGGTCAGAGTTGCTTCCTTTCTGGGACGAGGGGAATTCATTAAACCTTTTCTTGACTGTGGCATCATATTATCAGACTGAGTCCAGAACTCACTACACCTTCCTTCTTCACTGTGCGAACTGCTCTCTAAACTTTCCAGTTCATAACTTCCCGAACTTACAGCAGTGGGACTCTCTAACTGCGCAGGCCCACCTACTCCTCTCGCGGTCAGCGAACTGGCCCGGCAGTTTAAATGATTAGAAGACTGACCAGTGTAAGTACAACCTCTGTCCCTCTCAGGGGTTGACTCTTTTGACCTTTGACCCCTCTCCTTTGACCCATGACCTCTCTTGGTGACCTTGACCCTTGCTGGTCTTTGTATTACCAGTTTGACATTGTCGTCATCACCCGATTCTGTAAGTTTTTTGATGCGTTGAACATGATGGATGCCACTCATGTCCTAAAACACAAAATATAGACAGTCTATTACATCCCATTTCCATAGATTTTTAGATCGATCTATCCCTGTGGGGAGTCTCACTAGATTACTGTCAGCTTGGCCGGCCTAAGCTTCTGTCCCGCCTACTAAAAGCTGTAAGGGGGTAATTAACTATGGTGCCCGCTCAGCTGACTGCAATTTAGCGTGAACCCCCAGGGAGTTAGGTCGATCTAAAACTTAATCTTTAGATCGATCTAAATCTCTGGGAAAGCACCCTTAGTTGATTCATGAGAAGTTAAAAATACATATCATGAAATAATTGATAAGTATTACTATTCCTTGCAAAACATGATATAAATTTGATGACTTTAAAAAAAGTGCATTTGAATATAATATATCATAGTTTAACACATTCATGAGGTGTGATCTTTCATAAAGAAATTATTAATTATTTCAAAAATGATAATTAAAAAAATTAAAAACTAAGGCAGCAAGGCTGTCAAATGTATAGAGAAAATGGCAGAAAAATGCTTGAAAAACAAGGACATTCATAAACATACAATGAAAATGTTATACAAAAAATTAAAAAAAAAAAAAACCCTGACTGTATTACAGCTAGCCCACCGATTAATATTCTGCAAGTATGAACATGGCAACTGACTTATATTCCATTTACCACTAAAAATATTTTTAACAAGTGTATCTTTACATAGACAGAAAAAAAAACTACCTCTTGGCTGGAGCAGCTGATAGCCTCTCCATTCACAGAGAGTATGCAGTCTCCGCGCTGGAGCAGTCCCGCAGCGGCCCCACCTTCTTGTACTGTTTCCACCAGGGCATAGACTTCTATTGTCCTGTTGCTATTCTTGTCCTGTGAAATTCAATATGGAGATTTGGTTAAAAGATGCTTATAATATACATATATCATGTAAACCAGAAAAGGATCAAGAGAGCAAGAATATTGATCTTACTACTGATCCTTTTTTGTTTCATTTGATTACCTGATCCTAACTGGGAAATAACTTTGTAGGGTCATTTTCTCAAAACACAAAAGAAAATTCAATGTTTTTTACAAAAAAAAGTAAATTGTTTAAGTCAACAACTGAAAGCTTAGAATCCCATTCCTATTATACTGAAGTCAAAATTGTGGAAGCCTTAAAGTCAAATATATTTGCTTTAAAAAATACTGTTCTTACCTTGACTAGCTTGGTCTTGAAAGTGAACCCCAACTTGCCTGAGGTGGTCCCCAAGGTTTTCTTCAGGTTCACTACCCTTGGCTTATCATCCCACACAATTTTCAAAGGATTTTCCAAAGTGAGGGAAGCCAGGTCCACTTTGTCTTCTTCTGTTGGTTTCAGCTCAGAGCCGCAGGTAGGGCAAACATCTGGACACTATACACAGACCAATTAACACAGTCAATTAGCACTCCAGAAACTCAGTTTTTATGCAACATGATGACAAATATTATATAGACATCAACCAGGAAAAGACATCTTGACAAAAAAGAAAAAAAACTTTTTACTAAGTAAATCAAATCCAATCAGTAGAATTGAAGCAAAACTATAAAATACAGTTTGTCACTTGTGGGGTGAACATCACCAAACTATATGATAAAAAAGGTATTATGATTTTAAGATTTTTTATATTTTGTGAAAAATAATGCAATCAATGACATACTAATTTTCCAAAGAAAACCTGCTTTCTAGCCCCCATCCCCCATAAAAATCACTAATTTGAAATTAAAATAAAACAAAAATATCGCTTGTCACTTATCGCCAAAAGTTCCCATGAAAAAAAAAAAAAAAGAAAAATAAATAATTAAATAAAATAATTCTGAAAAAACTCATCACGTTAATTTTTTCAAAGAAACATGTTTAATTTTTGCTACAGAAATCCAGTCACAAATTTAAAATAAAATAATAATAATAATAAAAATAAAATTTTGGTGTTTCTGAATAGTTGTCTTGGATGGCACTGGCTATGGCATTGACATCGACAGACAATGTGATCAAAACATTAACAGTCACAAACATGCTCTTTATTTTAGAGTCCCAATTTTAAGTTTTTACATATATCTGAATGACCGAATAAATCTGTAAGACATATACCTCTGAGGCTTAAAGAGGAAAAACATGACGAACCAGTTTTAGGGATAAGGCACCATAGGGAAATATGCAATATATAAAAACATTTTCTTGTGAAATGCCTCCAGGTTGGTGATAATATAATGCAGTTAATTCTTCTCATGTCCTGGTTGGACATGAGAAGGGAGGGTGACATCATATCTTTTGTGAAAAATCAACCTACTAATAATGAAAGGTGGGGCCAAAATGTTTATTTTTATAAGATACATATGTATGAATATAGCTCTAATTTCTAAAAATAAAATTTTATCAACCAAATAAGCAGATGACTAGGCCACTGCCAGCATTTTATTGATCACTCCTAAAATAAAGATTTTTGAATGTCATGATCAGGAATACTGGCTGTTGCTAAAAATGATTGCTGTTAATGCAAAACATACAGCACAAACATGAATGAGCAAACGTTTTCAATTCCAATTTCACGTCAAAAATTATAATGTGTTGCAATGCACAACATTACCTTTTTAGCTGTCGTCTTAGTGCTCTCCTCGCTCCCAGAGGAAGTGGATGAGTCAGCAGAATTGAATACTGTCTCAATGCTGTATAAGCTGTCCTGTCCCTGGAGGCTGGAGGGGCTGACAACACCGCTGCTTGTATCCAGAGATAACGTGGAGTCCTGGCGTGACTTCTCGGTGTAGCCAAAGCATGTAACTGAGTGACTGGAGGTCGAGGTAGAGAAGGACGATGAAATAGATGGCGCCAAGTGTATGTTTGCTGGCCTGAGAGTGTCATTATTGTACGTGGAAATGGCGCCATCTTTAATGACCCTGTTGTCATTTTGCACATCTCTGTCTTGACCTTTACCATCTTTGCTCTTTTCTGGGGAGTCAGTGTCTAATTGATCAAGTGACTGTGACCTCAGTTTCTCATACCCAGAAGCACTATCTGGACTCCAATAACTAGAGCTGCTGCTACTACTCGTACTAGCACTGGTCAGCGTATTCACTTGACCCTTGTCAAAAGACAAACTGGACAGTGACAAACTAGCATCACTGTCCAAATCACTGACCCTCTGCTGAAATCCATAGTCTCTAGAGTCCACATTAACTGAAGCACAGGGTACCTTGTCCGAGGCCAATGAGCCGTAGGAATTCGACGGCCTTACTCTCATATCCTCCGGTTCCGTTGAGTCCAGTGGTAAGAAACCCTCGGGTTTACTCAAACTCAGAGAAACCCTTCGGAATCCAGACATGACAGAATTCTTGATCGTCGTGACAACGCCCTGTATGGACATGTTTGTTACTGGTTCTTTGTTGACGATCAAAATGCGATCTCCAACGTCCAGCGAAATTGTGCCTCTGATGTCGCACCAAGGGTCAATTCTCCGAATGACTGTATATGTCTCCTTGGGGCGTAAAGTGCTCTAGAAAATACACATTGTGGCCATGAGTTTCATATGATTCACAGAGCATATTGCAATAGCCTTTTCATATGTTGGAATGATGAGTCAATCAGATCATGATAAAATGAGCCCAGTTCATACTTACACCAAATGACCCATTGATTCCAGTGGAACTGATTTGTAGGCTGAAACCTTCAAGTGATTGATTAGCCTTAGGAGAAATCTACATTGTTTTTGTATATTTTTTAACATGACTTGTAAGAATTGTTTTTTAATCTGTATAATGCACAATGTTTACCACCCAGCTGCTAACAATTAATGATATTCCAAGACAATGTCTAGACAGGTGGATTCTCAAGTGAAGGATATCATCGTGTGTGTATGGGGGGGGGGGGGGAAGAGAGAGAAAGTGAGAGAGAGAGAGAGAAAACAGAGAGAGGGAAAAGACAGAGAGAAAGTGAGACATAGAGAAGAGAGAGAGATGAGAGAGATGTCAACTCCAAGATTGAAAATTATGTTGGATTTCACATCAACAGAGGATTAAATCTTAAAAGTACAGATGATGCACCCATATTGGGAGTTCTGGATCTGTCTGGCCAAAACTAAGTAGTGGTCCCAATTAATCTATGAAACATACAGTTGCTTTTCTATAGTAGTAGACAAACACTCACAGTATCTATCCAACTTCAATGTAGATTAAACCTTGTATTCACTGCATGTAAGCTTAAATTATTTGGTCATTAACCTAAGGCCAACTTTTAACTACAGCTCTTTCGTGAAACTGTCCATAGAGATCTTTAAGTTAGCCAGCCATCTGGTAGAGTCATTATGACCTAAATTAGTTCAGAATCACCTCTGTCAGTATAAATCATACTTTGAATCTATACTTCCCTCATTGAACTATAAAATACATGCAAGCATTATACTTGTCCAATTGCATTTTTGTCTAAAAAATACTAAACCACTAGTAATTAATATAAAGAAAAGGTACCTTGATTTTTCCAAGCACTGATTCTGCCTTGTCCATCCCCAATCCATCACTCCTACGACTAAATGCTGTATGGTAATTACAGCATCGCTGGCTATCAAAAAGCTCAATACAAATATACAGTGCACTGTGCAGTGTGAGCAGCTTAATCACTATATCAAGGCTTTCACATTGATCTGGTTATAATGGATTCTTTCCATTTGCATTGTGTTGCTGTTAGTAATTATTGACCTTTCTGTTGGTTGATGGAGAGGCATGTCTCTGTTATACTAGTACCTACTACTATAATACATGTTTATTTTAAATAAATAAATAAATAAATAAATAAATAAATAAATAAACCAATATTTTAGTATCTTTTGTGGTTTTAAATGTAAAACTGAGCAGTTTTAGGGTGTTTAAATAATTGGTCTATCACTTTTTTTTTTTGGCAGATTTCCAACTTATCCCCCCTCCCCTCCCAACACACACACACAGTGTCACACACACACACACACACACACACATACACACCTCACACACACACACACACACACACACACACACACACACACACACACACACACACACAGTCACACACACACACACAATCTCACACACACACACACACACACATACA